TAAGAATTATAACAGCGGCTCATATATTATTAAGCAGCTACAGTGTCCCAGGCACCTGCAGAGTTCTTGACATTTGCAATGTCGCATTGAATCTACAATTCCATGAAGTAGGTACTGCACTCTTATAAACCCCCATTTATAGGTGAGGAAATAGGTGTGTAAACCACAGCAGAGCCGGGGCTTAGATTCACTTTAATGGCATAGCCCATTTGTTTACCCACTGTTACTTATGCTGCTTCCAAGTCTTGCTGATTCTACCTCTTTGGCTAATCTCTATCTCCTTCCTTCCTTCCTTCCTTCCTTCCTTCCTTCCTTCCTTCCTTCCTTCCTTCCTTCCTTCCTCCCTCCCTCCCTCCCTCCCTCCCTCCCTTCCTTCCTCCCTTCCTTCCTTCCTCCCTTCCTTCCCTTCCTTCCCTTCCTTCCCTTCCTTCCTTTTTGTCTGGCTTTGTCACCCAGGCTGCGTGATCTCGGCTCACTGCAACCTCGGCCTCCCGGTTCAAGCCTTTTTTGTGCCTCAGCCTCCCGAGTAGCTGGAATTACAGGCACCTGCCACCACTGGACCCGGCTAATTTTTCTATTTTTAGTAGAGATGGGGTTTCACCAAGTTGGCCAGGCTGGTCTCCATTGAGCCACCTGCCTTAGCCTTGTCTACTTATTTTCATCACCACTACTGTGGTTTAAATGTTGGTCCCTTCAAAACTCATTTTGAAACTTAATCCTCAATGTAAAATTTTTTTTTTTTTTTTTTTTTTTTTGAGACAGAGTCTCACTGTGTCACCCAGGCTGGATGGAGTGCAGTGGCACAATCACAGCTCACTGCAGCCTCAACCTCCCCAAGCTCAGGTGATCCTCCTACCTCACCCTCCTGAGTAGCTGAGACTACAGATGCATGCCACCATTCCTGGCTAATCTTTGTATTTTTTGTAGTGATAGGGTTTCGCCATGTTGCCCAGGCTGGTCTCCAACTCCAGGGCTCAAGTGATTTGCCTGCCTTGGTCTCTCAAAGTGCTGGGATTACAAGCGTGAGCCACCATGCGTGGCACAATGTGGCAGTATTGAGAGATGGGGCTATTAAGAGGTGATTGGGTTATGAAGGATTAATGGGTTATCATGGGGGGAATGGTGGTTTTATAAGAAGAGGAAGGGAGATGTGAGCACGCTCAGCCCCTTGCCACCTGTACTAGTCCGTTCTTGCATTGCTATGAAGAAATACCTGAGACTGGGTAATTTATAAAGAATAGAGGTTTAATTGGCTCACAGTTCTGCAGGCTGTACAGGAAGCATAGTAGCTTCTGCTTCTGGGGAGGCCTCAGGAAGCTTCCAGTTATGGTGGAAGGCATAGGAGGAGCAGGCATCTTCACATGGCTGGAGTAGGAGGAAGAGAGGTGCCACACACTTTCACACAACAAGATCTCATGAGAACTCACTCACTATACAGTATCAAGGGGGGGATGGTGCTAAACCATTCATGAGAACTCTGCCCCCATGATCCATTCACTTCCCGTCAGTCCCCACCTCCAACACTGGGGATTACAATTCAACATGAGATTTGGCCGGGGACACAGATTCAAACCGTATCACTACCGATCTTTCTGCACTGTCCCAGGACTCTGCAAAGAGTCTCCATCAGCAAGAAGGCCCTCACCAGGTGTAGACCCTTGACCTGGGATGTCTCAGCCTTCAGAACTGTAATACATAAATTTCATTTATTTGTCTTTTTTTCCTTTCTTTTTCATGATGTTATTTTTTTCTTTTTCTTTATAAATCACCCAATTTCAGCTTTTTTTTTGTTGTTGTTGTTATAAGTAACAGAAAACAGACTCATACCACCCTACTACTACCCACAACTACTTCCATTTTTTTTTTTTTCTTCTTGTTGTTGTTGTTTTTGAGATGCAGTCTCACTCTGTCACCCAGGCTGGAGAAGTTCAGTGGTGCAACTTCAGCTCATTGCAACCTCTGCCTGCCAGGTTCAAGCAATTCTCCAACCTCAGCCTCCTGAGTAGCTGGGATTACAGGAGGCACATGCCACCATGCCTGACTAATTTTTGTATTTTTAGTAGAGATGAGGTTTCACCATGTTGACCAGGCTGGTCTCAAACTCCTGATCTCAAGTGATCTGCCCACCTTGGCCTCCCAAAGTACTGGGATTACAGGCATGAGCCACCATGTGGCAGCCCAACCACTTCCATTTCTACCCCTACCATTTTGTCTAGATTACGAATGCCTCCTGCCTGGTCTCACTGCCGATGACATTCTTACTGCTCTCTGATTTGATCAAATACTAAATCACCTCTCTCCTTTGCATAAAACCCCTTAATGTCCCCCCGCCCCTGCCCCAGTGCTTACAGGGTCTAATCCAAACTCTTTTTTTTTTTTTTTTTTTTTTTTTTTTGAGACGGAGTCTTTTTGCTTTTCCCCGGGGGGGGGAGCGGGGGTATGTTTGCGCACTCCAAAATCCACCTCCCGGGTTCACACCGTTCTCCTGCCTCAGCCTCCCAAGTATGAGCAAACCCTTAATGTCCTCTCACGCCTGCCCAGTGCTTACAGGTCTAATCCAAACTTTTTTTTTTTTTTGATTGAGCCTGCTCTAGCCACTTGTATTGGAGTGCAGGTGTGATTCTGCCTCACTGGGACCACTCTGGTCTCCACTGCCTCTGCCTTGCTAACCTCCTACAAGTAGCTGACCAGCTCTTTTTTTTTTTTTTTTTTTTTTTTTTTGAGACGGAGTCTTGCTCAGTTGCCCAGGCTGGAGTGCAGTGGTGTGATCTTGGCTCACTGCAATCTCCACCTCCCGGGTTCACACCGTTCTCCTGCCTCAACCTCCCAAGTAGCTGGGACTACAGGCGCCCACCACCACGCCCGGCTAATTTTTTTTGTATTTTTAGTAGGGACAGGGTTTCACCATGTTAGCCAGGCTGGTCTCGATCTCATGACCTCGTGATCCTCCCACCTCATCCTCCCAAAGGGCTGGAATTATAGGCGTGAGCCCCCACGCCGGGCCCCAAACTCTTTAATAAAGCAAATAAGGTGCTCCATCCATCTCTCACCATCTCTTTTGCACCCTATGTTCCAGCCATATTGAACAACTTACTTCCTATTTTCTGATTATACCAGCCCGTGCCTTGGCTCAAGCTCTATCTTCTGCCTAGAATGCTTTTCTTTTTTTTTTTTTCTGAGTGAAAACCTACTTGCCTTTCAAGCATCTACCCTAGCATTATATCACCTACGAAGCAAAGTACGTTGAGTCTTCTCCACAGTTCTGGAGGCCAAAGTCTGAAATCAGGGTGTTGACAGGGCCATGCGCCCTCTGAAGGTTGTAGGGCAGAGTCCTTCCTTGCCTCTTCCTAGCTTCTGGTGGGTGCCAGCAATCCTTGGCATTCCTTCTGTTGTAGCTCCATCATTCCAGCCTCTGCTTCTGTCTTCACGTAGTGTTCTTCCTTCTCTGTGTGTGGTTTTGTTTGTTTTTGTTTTTCTGAGACCAGCCTGTTGCCTCGGTTGGTCTTAACCTCCTGGCCTCAAGCAATCTGCCCTTCCTTGGCCTCCCAAAGCGCTAGGATTAGAGGTGGGAGACACCGCATCCAGCCCCTGTGTGTGTCTTCTCAGTGTCCTACTTTCTCCAGATCTTTCCTTATAATGATACCACCCTAATCCAGGATGACCTCATCTTAACTTGATTGTGTCTGCAAAGACCCTATTTCCAAATTAAGGTCTCCTGTGTAGGTACCAGGGTTTAAGACTTCAGCATATAATTTTGGGGGGCACAACTCAACCCCATGTCTCACATGCAGGAGCAGGAGCAAGAGAGAGAGTGGAAGGAGGTGGTACATACTTTTTTATTTATTTTTTATTTTTATTTGAGACACAGTCTCACTCTGCCCCCCAGGCTGGAGTGCAGTGATGTGATCATGGCTCACTGCAGCCTCGAACTCCTGGGCTCACACGAATCTCCTGCCTCAGCCTCCAAACTATAGGAGGCCACCATACCCAGCTAATTTTTTAATTTTTTTTTTTTTTTCTTTATAGAAACAGGGTCTCACTATGTTGTTCAGGCTGGTCTTGAACTCCTGGGCTCAAGCAATCCTTCTGCCTCAGTCTCCCAAAGTGTTGGGATTATAGGCATGAGAGCTATTTTTTAATTTTTATTTTTTTAGATGGAGTTTCGCCCTTGTTGCCTAGGATGGAGTGCAATGGCGCAATCTCAGCTCACTGCAAACCCCGCCTCCTGGGTTCAAGCAGTTCTCCTGCCTCAGACTCCCGAGTAGCTGGGATTACAGGCATGCACCACCACACCCAGCTAATTTTGTATTTTTAGTAGAGATGGGGTTTCTCCATGTTGGTCAGGTTGGTCTCGAACTCCTGACCTCAGGTGATCCGCCTGCCTTGTCCTCCCAAAGTACTGGGATTATAGGCCTGAGCCACTGCGTCCGGCTTTTTATTTTTGTTTTTTCTTTTCTTTTGTGAGACGGAGTCTCTCTCTGTCACCCAGGCTGGAGTGCAGTGGCGCAATCTTAGCTCACTGCAGTCTCTGCCTCCCTGATTCAAGCAATTCTCCTGCCTTGCCTCAGCCTCCCGAGTAGTTGGGATTACAGACACCCACCACCACACCCAGCTCATTTTTTTGTACTTTAGTAGAGATGGGGTTTCACCATGTTGGCCAGGCTCCTTTCAGACTCCTGACCTCAAGTGATCCACCCACCTCAGCTTCCCAAAGTGCTAGGATTACGGGCATGAGCCACCACACCCAGCCCTGAGCTATTTTTAAGTACTGAAATATTTTTATGTATAAACTGTTATTTTGGTGTTATAAAATGTAAATCATTTATGTTATAAGACATGTCCACAGAGTTATATACTGCATTTAGGTTTCATATCAAACAAGGGTACATTTTTAAAGTAGGTATACTGAGTACCTCATTCTTTATTTTATATCCTTACAAGGTACTTTATTGTTTTAACTCTTATTTTCTGTTTCTTATAGGATTAATTCTCTTTTTCAGGGATTATTAGTTGTTTGCATTTCCCCCAGAGGCAAATCATCTACTGCCAGAGGCTCCCTGATGGAATCAGGTTAGAATGAAGTTGGGGGTGGGAAGACATTAAGAGAAGCAAAACCAGGCACGATGGCTCGCCCGGTAATCCCAGCAGTTTGGGAGGCCAAGGTGGGAGGATCCTGTGGGCCCAGGATTTTGAGGTCGCAGTCAGCTATGACGCCAAGGAAAGGGAGTTAATGAGGAAAAGTTATAAGACCTGATTCCCAGCCCTACAGGACTTCTCTCCTTTTCCCCGCTAGGGCTGACACCTTCTTTGTCTTTTTCTTTCTTTCTTTTTCTTTTTTTGAAATGGGGTCTCACTTTGTCACCCAGGCTGGAGTACAATGGCATGATCTCAGCTCACTGCAGCCTCTGCAAGCTCCGCCTCCCTCCGCCTCCCGGGTTCACGCCATTCTCCTGCCTCAGCCTCCTGAGTAGCTGGGACTACAGGCGCCTGCCACTACGCCCGGCTAGTTTTTTCTATTTTTAGTAGAGACGGGGTTTCACCGTGTTAGCCAGGATGGTCTCGATCTCCTGACCTCGTGATCCACCCGTCTCGGCCTCCCAAAGTGCTGGGATTACAGGCTTGAGCCACCGCGCCCGGCCTCAGCAAGGTCATTTCATCTCAGTTTTGCAACAGCTAATTTGAAACCATGGGCACAGTGAGCAGTCAGCATGCTGTCACTGGTCCTGAGGACATTGCAGTATTTGAATGGTGAGAAGTGACAGCACTCAGAAAAGGACACACCAGATTTCTATGGCTTTTTTACCCCAGGATCTCAAAGGACATTACTGCTTTATTACTCATTCCCTAGAAAATAGTGCGCTAGAATAACTCATCCCTAAGAACGCTATGTGATTGGTATTTTGCCATTTTTAGTCCATCCCAGTGCCAAGTTTCAGTGTTTTTCTAGTGTGATTGATATATTAGAATTTTTACTTTATAAGCTGTGATAAAACCATAATACTTTTCAGCCACTTTAAGTCTGGAGCTTTTATGATTTCACATTGAAAAGAAGTCTGAAGCTTTATTAGGTAAGTGAAAATGTAACACAGATGTCTGGGTAATGGAAGCCAGTAGCCTGTTTTTAACAGAATTATTCTTTAAAAGCAGAATGAAATTCCCTCTCTAGAATTTAGGGATACAAATTCTCTACCCTCAATCTTTGACCTATGACCTCTTTAGGAAAAAGGAGTCATCTCTCTGTCTCTAATCTTTCACCAAAATACCAAATAATTAAGTGTACATGTTCCATAGCAAAATATACCTAAAACAATTAATACATCAAGTAGAACCAATAGTTTCTCTCATTTTTAGAGTATCTAAAAAAAAAAAAAAAAAACCCAACAATTTATGCTGGCATTTTATAGTATAACTTGATTTATTTCAGGATCTCATTGTAAGAAACACGAACATATGTAGTATATCATTTAACTGCAACAAAATAGTTTAAAAATGTTGAAGTTGGAACAATCCTGAGAGATCATACAGTCCCACCTCCTACCAAATGCAGTCACCCTAAATCAATGACATTCCGCCTCTGCTACAATGGTAGCATAGAAAGTGTTACTTTGCAAAGTGACTAATACTGTTGTTAATCAGTTTAGCCCAGTGTTTCTCAAATTTGTCTTACGGAAACCCACAGTAAGAAATACATTTTTGCTGGGCGCTGTGGCTTATGCCTGTAATCCCAACACTTTGGGAAGCCAGGGTGAGTTGATTGCTTGAGCTCAGGAGTTCCAGACTGCCTGGGTAAGATGACAAAACCCCATCTTTACAAAAAACACACAAAAATTAGCCAGGCGTGGCGGCATGTGCCTGTAGTCCCAGCTGCTTGGGAGACTGAGGTTGGAAGATGGCTTGAACCCAGGACGTTGAGGCTGCAGTGAGCGGTGATCACGCCATTGCACTCCAGGCTGGGCGACAGGGCAAGAACCTATCCCCTCCCCCGAAAAAAAGAGAAGAAAAAAAGAAATCCCTTTTAAGGCTTGGCACAGTGGGTCATGCCTGCCCATAATCCCTGCATTTTGGGAGGCCGAGACTGGAGGATCGCTTGAGGCTGGGAGTTAAAGATCAACCTAAGCAACATAGCAAGACCGTGTCTCTACAAAACAATTAAAAAAATTAGCTGGGCATGGTGGCGTGCCCTGTAACCCCAGCTACTCAGGAGGCTGAGGCGAGAGGACCTCTTGAGCCCAGGAGTCTGAGGCTGCAGTAAACTGTGATCACCTACTGCAGTCTAACCTGGATGACAGATTGAGACCATCTTTAAAAAAAATTTTTTTTAATTAAAAATAAATAGCTGTTCTGTATGAGCTCAAATTCATTCATTTCCCTTTAGTCCTATATTTTGGTCCATTTGCATTTTAGTGAATATTCATTGAATAAATATTGATTGAGCACCTATGTGCTGGACATTATGCACTGTGCTAGGGATGCTGAGGTGGAAAAAACAGAGACTCATAGCTTTTAGAGCTTAGACTCTACTTCTTAGTCTAGAAGCCTAGTCTACTACACCTATTAAGAGAATAATTCTGGCCGGGCACGGTGGCTCATGCCTGTAATCCCAGCACTTTGGGATGCTGAGGCAGGCGGATCACAAGGTCAGGAGATCGAGACCATCCTGGCTGACACAGTGAAACCCCGTCTCTACTAAAAATACAAGAAAAGTAGCCGGGCATGGTTGTGGGCACCTGTAGTCCCAGCTACTCGTGAGGCTGAGGCAGGAGAATGGCGTGAACCCGAAAAGCGGAGCTTATAGTGAGCCGAGACTGTGCCACTGCACTCCAGCCTGGGCGACAGAGCAAGACTCCATCTCAAAAAAAAAAAAAAAAAAAAAAGAATAATTCTACAGCTGGGCACAGTGGCTCATGCCTATAATCCCAGCACTTTGGGAGGCCAAGGTAAGTCAAGACTGCAGTTTGCCGTGATATTGCCACTGCACTCCAGCTTAGGCAACAGAGCAAGACTCTGTCTCAAACTTAATAATAATAAATACGTAATAATAAAAACAAAATAATTCTAGTTCTTCGACATAATTGCCTTTCAGTATTGGAAGACAACTATCACATTTCCTAATCTATGCCACATATGATGTAGTTTCTGTAACAATAGCTATTGAGGCATAGTGATTAACTAAAGCTCCCCATACTAAAGATGGGCTTGTCAAGGAAACCTCTGTTGAAGTGACATTTAAGTAAAGACTTGTGTAGATTTAGGGAACAAGTTATGTGAAGATCCTTCACTCCTGGGTGAGGAATGTTCCAGACACAAGGGACGTCAGGAATGAGCTTGGCACCTTGGGAAGCATCAAAAGCAGTAAGGTGAGAGCTACAGGTAGGGGAGATCTTTCGGAGATCTGGCAGCACTTTTAGACCAGGGTAAAACTTTGGATTCTTTCTCTGTGAGATGGGAACCACTGGAGGTTAAAGTATTTAACTTCATTTATTTTTGTGAAAGGGATTTTATTAGTCCATTCTCGCATTGCTATAAAGAACTCCCTAAGACTGGGTAATTTCATTGGCTCACAGTTCCACAGGCTGTAAAGGAAGCATGACTGGGCAGGCCTCAGGAAACTTACAGTGATGGCAAAAGGCAAAGGGGAAGCAGGCCCATCCTACATGTCTGAAGCGAGAGGAAGACAGTGAAGGAGGAGGTGCTACACACTTTTAAACAACCAGATCTCGTGAGAACTCACTCACTATCACAAGAATAGCAAGAGGGAAATAGCAAGAGGGAAAAAAAGACTGCCCCCATGATCCAGTCACCTTCCACCAGGTCCCCTCTCTAACATTGGGGATTACAATTCAACATGAGACGCAAATCCAAACCATATCAGGGATCTTCTCTCTTATCTGCCACCTAGCTATTTTTGTGTATTAATTTTATCATAAACTGGCTCTTTTACCAAATTCTTTTGTTTCTAGGTTTATTTAATTGGCTTTATTAAGATATAAGTTAGACCAGGCATGGTGGCTCACGCCTGTAATCCCAGCATTTTGGGAGGCCGAGGCAGGCGGATCATGAGGTCAGGAGTTCGAGACCAGCCTGGCTAACATGGTGAAACCCCCTCTCTACTAATAATACACAAAAATTAGCCAGGTATGGTGACACGCACTTGTAATCCCAGCTACTAGGGAGGCCGAGGCAGGAGAATTGATTGGACCTGGGAGGCAGAGGTTGCAGTTAGCTGAGATCATGCCACTGCACTCCAGCCTGGGCAACAGAGCAAGACTCTGTCTTGAGAAAAAATTAAGATATAATTTACATGCAATAAAATGCCCCAATTGTAAATGTACAATTTAATGTTTGACATATATTCATATGTAATAATCACCATAAATAATACATGAAACATTTTCATCACCTAAAATTTCCCTCATGCCTTTTTTTTCTTATGCCATTTTGTAGTAGAGCCTCCTATTTCGTTCTGAGTTTCAGGCAACTGTAATCTCCCTTATGTGACTATAGATTAGTTCTGCCTATTCTAAGATTTCATATAACTGGACTCACACAGTAGGTGTTCTTTGGTTTCTGGCTCCTTTCATTGAGCCTAATGATTTTGAGAGTCATTCACATCATTGCTTGTGTCAGAGGTTTGTTTGCTGTATTGTTCAGTAGTATTCCATGGTATGGATATACTACAATTTATTTATTCACCATCAGATGCACATTTTCTTTCCAATTTGGGGCTAATATGAACAAAGCTGCTATGAAAAATTCTTGTATAAGTCTTTTTGTAGTCATGTGTTTTCATTTATCTTGGATAAATACCTAGGAGTGGAATTGCTGGGTCTTAGAGTAGGTGTAACTTTATTAGAACTGCTAAATAGTTTTCCAAAGTGACTGTAGCATTTTACATTTCCACCAGCAATGCATGAGAGAACTAACTTCTCCACATCCTTGCCAAGATTTGGTGTTGTCAGTCATTTTGTTTTTGGCCATGATGGTGGGTGTGTAATGACATTTCCTCATGGTTTTAATTTGCATTTCCCTGATGACCAGTGACATCTTTTCATATGCTAATTTTGTTTGTTTTCTATTATGAAGTGTCTGTTCAAATCATTTGTCCATGGGTGGTTTGTCCTATTGTTGAGTTCCTATTGTTGAATTTTTTTTTGTGTGTGTGACAGAGTCTTGCTCTGTCTCCCAGGCTGGAGTTCAGTGGCTCAATATTGGCTCACTGCAAGCTCCGCCTCCCGGGTTCATGCCATTCTCCTGCCTCAGCCTCCCAAGCAGCTGGGACTGCAGGCACCTGCCACCACGCCCGGCTAATTTTCTGTATTTTTAGTAGAGACGGGGTTTCACCGTGTTAGCCAGGATGGTCTCGATCTCCTGACCTCGTGATCCACCTGCCTCGGCCTCCCAAAGTGCTAGAATTACAGGCGTGAGCCACCGCACCCGGCCCAAGAAGATTCTTTAGAGGATTTTCTGTGTACATGATTATATCATCTATAAACAATAACAGTTTTTCCTTTTCTGTGTACATGATTGTGTCACCTGTAAACAAGAAGTTTTTCCTTTTTACTCTTTATGCCTGTTATTTATTTATGTATTTATTTTTTTGAGACAGAGTCTCGCTGTGTCACCCTGGCTAGAGTGCTATGGCGTGATCTCGGCTCACTGCAGCCTCCGCCTCCTGGGTTCAAGCGATTCTTCTGCCTCAGCCTCCTGAGTAGCTGGGATTACAGGTGCCCACCATCGTGCCCAGCTTATTTTTGTATTTTTAGTAGAGATGGGGTTTCACCATGTTGATCAGGCTGCTCTCGAAGTCCTGACCTCATGATCGGCCCGCCTCGGCCTCCCAAAGTGCTGGGATTACCGGCATGAGACACTGCGCCCAGCCTATGCCTGTTATTTCTTTAACATCTCTTATTGCACTGACCAGCACCTCCAGGACAGTGTTGGATGGAAATAGCTGAGAGCACAAATCTTTGCCCTGTTCCCTGTCTTAGGGGGAAAGCACTTGATCTTTAACTTAAGTAAGGTATTAGCAGTTGGCTTTTTGTAGATGACCTTTAGCAGCTGAGGAAAT